CACAGTTGAAACAAACACGCATCTCCCCACTCCGAGGATAAAAGTTTGACCCTCTAAAGGCCCCTGAAAATTGGCCTACTCGATTTTGGTATTGGTATCGCCCCTGCCTGGACGAATAAGGTTGAACCAAACTAGATTACGAAACACGCAAGGAAGTCCCTAGTTGCGTACAAAAATGCCTAGTATGACCCAGTTGATTACACGCATAGCAAATAGGCGGCCCTTGAATATGTTACTAGTTCAAAGTCTGAACTGGTAAGGATCCTAATGGCTGCTCCCCTTGTGAGCACTTGATCGCCTCAAGTCCCAGTTCGCTAGATGATCCCGTTGGTGCAACTATTTGTTGAGACAACAACCTTACCCTTCTCCTTTGTTTCTTACTAGGTCTACCAGGACTCCAAGCTGTAGGAGTTGTCGAAGTTGGCTTCTCTACACTTTGCCCCATGACTAGGACTGCGGTCTCCACTTGAGCCGCCGTTTCCACAAGCACCTGATAATTCCTATGCCAAGACCCAGCAATCTTTTTCCGTACATAATCACATAACTTACTCTTGAACTCTGCACAACGGAGCTCCTTGATTTCCATGAACTCTGGTGCGAACGTTGATAGGTTGGTAAACCACGCCTCAAATTGTGCCAAAGATATAGTACCTTGGCATAAGTCCAGAAATTGCTTCCTTAATTCTTCCCGTGTGGAAGGAGAAAAGTTGTCACTTCCTCGCCTGGATATCCTAATAAAAAACAAGCATAACAAATGAGCACACATCTAATGGTGTCCCCAAAAAAATCTCATACACTAGTATTAAAACACATAATGCATTCTATATAAGCACTTAGTCACCTAATCACACATGAATTATCTTCTTAAGATAAAATTTGTTCCACGAAACCCCAAAAATTCCTATTAGAACGAACATTGATCAAGTGTCCTTCTAACAAGACCTCCAAGTGTTTAACAGACACAAATCGCATCTTAAGGATCCAATTCCATACCCACTTAGCCACATAAGCATGTTATCATTTAGCATGCTGAGCATACAACATCTCTATTAAGCGAGACAAACCCATTGTGATAAGAACCACTTCCCACGTACCCAAAGTATTCAAACTCGATGTGCTCTAATACCAAGTTGACACGCCAAAAAAAAAAAAAAGACATTCTACTCCATTATAATAGTACTAAACATGTGGAGCACATCAACAATTTGGTTACACAACATCGTTTCCAATGCATGCCTCCGTAAATTCGTTTAGTTATACAACATGAATCCTATCTATAATGAATAAAACTAAATTATTACAAAATAATGCCTTAAAGGCTACAAATTTCCAAGGCCTTGCCCGGTTACAACAAACGAGTCATAACACAATACAAAGAAGCTTGTGGCTTAAATTACAACAATTAACCAAAGCAAACAATAAATATGAGCCTCAAGCCCCAGGATCCTCCAGTCATCACCTTGGTGGAGGCATACCAATTCACCTGAAAGTGGTTTCCCTTGTAGGGTGAGCATGAAGCCTAGTAGAAATAAACTTAATGACATGCATGAAGCTTAACAACGTCATAAGATGGATGCACGTGAAATGTCATGATAAAACATGCATTTTCATTCTTTGAAACAATGAAATGCGAGATGTCTAAAACATCTTTCCAAATCAACAATATTCTTTCACAATAATCAAGTGGTAAATATAATGAATAAATCTCTAGGGCTAGTGTTTGTAATAGTGACTATATAAGTCACTATGTCATTTTTACCGGTACGCACTGGAAAGCTTGGCACCTACTGCACGGGTTTTAGGTCTCACACCATGGACACATAGGTCAACTTAATTATGCTTTAACACCTTCTTACAACTTCACCATTTTATTTACCATTTCAATAATACAATACATGCATCTCAAAACAACAATACATTTTTCGAAACGTGAAATCTCCAGTTACAAATCCATGATATGCATAATGCGATGTATGATTTGTAAACATTTCCATTCCCTAATCCACATGCAATTTCTACAAAAAATCAACACAAACCCTTCACTAGTTGCCAAAAACAATTATCTCTAATTAAAAGATAACAACAATAATAATATTCAAAATCATAACCAAATAAGTATTCCAATCATTTATACAAAATCTCGTGATTTCCAAACAACATTCACACTTCTCATGAGTCTTGTGAATCTCAATAAAAAATATACAATTTTCCCAAATTCGTTCATATCATTTCCAATGAAACCACTATTTTAAAAGAGTAAATAATACTCAGTATTTTTCCAATAATTCAAATATTCTCAACCAAACCAAAATCCTACAACCATTCCAATTTCTTCTTTTTTCCATAAAAAGAACACCCAAAACCCTAGTTTTGGACTAACTTTTGAGAAACCCTTTAAAACCAAATTTTCTTCAAAAACTCATAACACAATAACCACTAGGTTACCAATCCCAAACCATAATTGAAAAGAAGTCTTTATACCCAAATTTGTACATCAATAAATATATATATCCAAAACTACTTTTTTCGAAAACCCATAACTAACAAGAATAACAAAGAACGAAGCTAAACAACATGCACACCGTTAAGAAAATCCCCCCCTCAACTCCAAAATAGGAGAAAGCCTAAAATCCCCAAAATCCAATGTTGACAAAAACACGAACTTTTCCAATTAGAACAAAGCGCTCGATGAACTCTATCTTTTCTCCAAAGGACAAAAGTGTAGAGATCAAAGGCTAAGGGTGTATTTGAGGTTTAAAGGTGAGTTTTAGAGAGAGGGAGAGTAGATCTAGGTTTTTGACATGTTTAGAGAGGGAGAGAAATGAAAAAATGATCTCAAAGTGACTTTTACGGACTGATAACTGCTCGAGCGGCCAAAACACCGCTCGAGCAACCACAAACAATAAGTGAGATAGCTCGAGCGAACAAGTTATTGCTCGGGTACACAATGACACCCTCCCAATGAGCACAAGAAAGACCGCTCGAGCTAAAGAAACACTGCTCGAGTGAAGAATACCACACCCCTAGTATTTTTGTAGACCTGTAAAAATATTGGAAGGTCTCAACGACCGCTCGAGCGCAAGAAAGTTTGCTTGTGCGAAAAAGCTAAATTCTGGACAACAACTCTTTTGAAAAAAAAAACTTACTCCCAACCTGTTCCGAACACAACAACGACACTCCAACAACCAAACTCAACAAGGAATAAGATGAATAAAGATATGAACAACCATTCAAGACAAGAAATTCCTAATTCCAAAACGATAAACGGGTGAGGTCTAAATCCAAATTTTTATAATTTAGGTATTGATCACGCCCTATCTTACTACTTAATTATGCGTGTCTTACGCTTAAATGTTTATTTTTTTATTTTATTTTTTGAAAATTAACCATTGCTCTAATACCAATTTTTTCACGACCCGAACCTGGTACCCAGAGGTTAGGCGTCGTAACTAGACAAAAATTGAGATCATAACAAATAAATAATGCAGTGGAGTAAAATAAAAGGGTATGCAAATATTTATTTGATTAAAAATATACATTGGAGCTTTTATCTATTGACATTGCCGGAGCTAGATTATATTTACAAAGTGCCTTGTGTCTACTCCTCGCACTAGTCCTACCACTTCACCTAAAAGGGTTTAACAGCTATAAGCACATGACAGAGTGAGAAATATTATACTGAGAGCATAAGGATATAAAAGTCACCATGGATTATTATTTGGCTAAATAAAGAGTAATTTCATATCAGAAAATCATTTTAAATAACAGACGTACAATGCAAAAATCATATAAGCAAAATAATCATAACCACAATACAGATTATAACAGAATAGAGGGTTAATGGACATTTAAGTCCCCCGAACATGGGACCTTTAAAGGGCTAGATATTTAAGTCCCCAGGCGTGGGACCTTCAGAGGGTCACAAAAGTGACAACAAAATAGAAGGTCAGTGGATCCATGAAAAAAGTGACTAATCAGAGGGCCAATGGTTATTTAAGTCCCCCAAGGCATGGGACTGTCAGAGGGTCATTAAAGTGACAATTCACAAGGCCAATAGTTATTTAAGTCCCCTAAAGTCATGGGACCTCTGTCGTGGTACTTACAAAATAATTGCTTAAAAACACATTTAATAAACTGTTATATCCATGAGTTTTCATTTTTAAGCAAATAGGGTTCATGAAATAAATAACATAGTCGAAATGTTTATATAATTCATAAAGCATGATTTGCGTAAAATAATTCATAAAATAATAAAATAATTTATAATTACTCAAGGTATAATATAACTCACTTTAACATTGATTCCTACTATTTATTTTCTATTTCCTCCGATTCTCCGAGCCCCACTCTTTGCTTATACTTCTGTTTTGTGTTGACTTCGTTTGTTACCTCAGCCTTTTATATACTTAGGCCTCGTTTGGGAACAGGCTAATTTAGTAACTTTTTGGCTATTTGGCTAAAAAGGTAGGTAAAAAAAACTTGTATGTTTGGGATGACTTTTTGGCTAATTACGAAAAGATGTGCAAAAAGTAGAGAGAAAAGAGAATCTTTGACTTTTTGGTATGAGTTGTTGGCTTTTTGGCTAATTGGCTAAAAAAGTAAGTCCCCAAACGGGGCTTTAGCCCAAAGTGCTGATGCCTCTAAGCTTAATTTTCCCTCAATCATTACTTTCACAGGTGGCATATGTTGGATGCCTCCAGCAATGTCTCTTAAAGCATTTACTTTATACTTAACTTATTAGTGCCACCTGTCAATTTCTTGTTAAATAATTACACTTGGACCTAAATAATATAATAATTATATCATCGTCTTTTGATACTATACAATGATCCCTAATTTTAAATTAAATTACATTTTATACATATAATTATAAAATTAAATATTCTTTTCGAATTGCCAATTTATATATATGTATATATATATATTTATAATGTAACTAATTTAGCTTAAGGTGTTTAAAAATAAATTATTGTATAATTTTCGTAAAAAGGTATTATTCGAGGTGTTACAGCATTGGAGGCAGTTTCCATATCATCTCCATCATTGCTACTTACCACTGGAGAATCTGGAGTGGGTGGTCGAAACAACTCCAAGCTTTTATCCTAGAACCAAGAGAGACGTATTACTGAAGAAAGAAAGGAAGAACGACGGTATGGAATGAGAAACAAGCTAAAAATTCAAAATGTTTACCTCAAAGAAGATGGTCAGATGAAGAGAGAAAGACCCCATGGGCAAGGCACTTTGATTGTACCCGTAAGCCAGCATTGGGCTGAGTGCATAAAAACGGCCTCGAGCACAAGCATAGCTCAAGGATCAGCTATAAACCTCACCACGGCTGCAAACTCTTCGCCTATTGTTGACCGTGGGTTCCTCCAGAACCGTCCACGACTCCTCTCTCCTTCCACAAGTAAGTCTTCTCCTACTACCACGACCGCTAGAAAAGAGTTCTTGAGCATATTAGCTCTAAGTTAGGAACCACGACATCATTAGAGTCTTCATCGGACAAACCAGTAAAGTCTAAATAGTGAGGAGGATCCATATCTTAAGGGACACTATAAAACGAAGGGAGAGAAATGTTGTGCACCATTTGAAGTAAGAAAATACACAAAAGGCCACATAAATAGCAACTTCAGGTGGTTGTGGGTAGTTTGCAATAAAAGTACCACCTTTTTACAAAATGTGAAAAGTGAAAAAGTCACGACCAACTCAGGAATTCCCCGGATGGACCTGCCGAATTCATGTTTGGCCTACCGGGCAAGGTATTAGCCGATAGACTCTAGGGTAGTTGGTCCAGGTGATTTGATAAGCTTCAGAGTATCAGAACAAGAGCAAGGATGCATGTTTAGGATTTGGGAAAGACAAGGGTACTTAGACGTATGCAAGAATGCTCAAAATGTAAAGCAAAGCAAGGCCTTGGAGGACATCTATAAACAAAAGGTGTTTTTATATAAAGGCCGTGAATGGCAAAATTGTCTACAAAACGACTAACTGCAAAAGTGCCTATAACATTTGGGGAATAAATACATTTGAAGTTCTTACAAGCTATTCAAAGGAAAGTAAATTAAAAGGTGACCAAAAAGTAGAACATAAACTAAGCAGCTGGACCTACCATCCCGACAGGCAACGGGATGCCAGCTCTGCCAGGTCTGTCATCATCGCCATTAGCCCCACTACCAAAAATGCTGCTAGCAACCGAAAAGTAATTAAAGGGCCCATCATGCACGACATCCTCATTATCATCATCATCACTGTTGCTGATGATCACCTTGGGCAAAGCAACTCCGTCCTACAAAAGAAGAAATGTGAGTCAGAAAGGAGGAAGGTTGCATATGGCCATTCAATAATCAATTTTTGAAGTAACTAAACCTCATGGTGGGCAGCTAGAATATGTGGAGGCACTAAAGTTGGTGGCAAAGGGTCGCATCCCCGTCGTCGACAATCTCGGATACCCAGACCGTGTCACTCATGAGGAGCCTGCCCTGGACCATAATAATTTCCTCTCCCACGAGCCCAAGTCTATACGTGCTCATCAGTTGTTACTTGTCTGTTACTACTGGCACCCCCGTGAAGTTGTCATAAGCTATGTCTCCTCGCATGGGTAACGGAGTAAGCAAGCTCTAGGTCAATGCCGTCAATCATGGCCATGATGAGAGCTTCAGCTTCTGCCACCGTGTTCCCAAAGGAAGTATCACTGTTTTCTGGTGTGTTTGGCTCGTTGAACCCAATTGGGGAGTTAGGAGGAATTGAGAGGAAATCATCATCAGCCATGGGTAATGATCGAAAATGAGTTTAGAGAGTTGAAGATGTGGTTTCAGATGGGAACGAATGGAAGTTGGACGATCACGCCTTTTTATAAATTTTCAAAATTGGAAAATGACTATTCTGACCCTATAAAGCCGACCACTTCTTAATTTGGTTGGCTAGTTTTTAAGCCAGCCAAGTAAGCAGTAACAGTATGCTAGAGAAGAGGTGTTTAGAGATATATAGTGGTTACTCAGTGGTGTATGGTTGTTATCCTTGTCGTGTTCTAAGGCACAATGGTATGGTTGTTATCCTTGTCGTGTTCTAAGGCACAATGGTCGGCAAGTACTCATAAAGAGGAAGGTTTGTCCCTATTTTTGTTGTGTTTGTCTTGTTTTTACCTCAATGACGAAGCGTGTGAGGCATGAACCCTCGGTTAATATTGCCCTTTGTACAAGTTGACGGTTAACACCACCCTTGGTTAATATCGCCCCCTGCATGGGTTGGCGGTTAACACCATCCTCAGTTAATACCGCCCCCTGCATGGCTTGGCGAGTAACACCACCCTCGGTTAATACTACCCTTTGCATGGGTTAGTGGTTAACACCACCCTCGATTCATACTGCCCCTCTGTAGGTTGGTGGTTAACACCACCATCGGTTAATGATGCCCCCTGCGCAAGTTTGCGGTTAACACCACCCTCGGTTAATACCGACCCCTGCGCAAGTGTCAGTTAACACCACCCTTGGTTGATATCGCCTCCCCTGCGTGGGTTGGTAGTTAACACCATTGTTTCTCCTTTTATGTTGTGACATGCTAGAGTGTGTTGTGAAGTTCCTTGTTGCAATGATTATCGATCATATGTGACTTTGGGCTGTAGCTATCCTTATCCTTTTCCCTTCTGTGCCATGGCACAGGTGGGGTGTTATATTTCTTTTATTCGTGTAGAGCTTGCTTGTATGTGTTTGTCATCCTTCATATTTTCCGCAGTGGTTAGCTTGCTCTGTGTCATTTGCACGAGGTCTTCACCTTTCTTCTGCCATCTTTGCAGCTTTATCATTGTTCCACCTTGTCACCTTCCATGGCGTTCGCATTATCAAGTTTTTCAAAACTCCGACACAGTGGTACACGTAAACTCTGACAATGTTTTTCAAAAGAGTTTCGAGTATAGCATTTGTATTCTACCCTTGAACTACACTAGTTTGATTCCTTGCAAAGGAATACGTAGGCAACCCTCGAGTTCAACCAAATTTTATGTGTATTTTGTTTGTTTGCCCAAGTCTTATGACCTTGTGTAGACACCCCATTTTTGACGACCCTATAAGACTTGGCTGTCCTTGCAGGTACATGCAGTGATGAGTCTGTTTGCTCGCCGGGCACTAGAAGTCCTCAGTGGAACGCCATAGCTTTGATCCTTGCAAACCCTACATCCATTTTGTCTCATTTTTGGACTAGGCCATGGTATTTCTTGCCTACAATCTCTAGTGGCCTGCCAGCCATCCTTGGAGGCTGCTGGCCAGCACTTCTTGTTTCCGACCATTGATGTGCCTTGCCTGCCATCAATGATGCCTTGCCGACCACCACTGATGGCCGGCTAACCACCAGTGTTTTCTGCAGATATTTTATGCCAACTGTGCCAGCTGTTTGCACAGATGCTTGCATCTGTCCACACGTAGAGGGCTGGATCTCCTTGTATAGATTTCGTGGTTTCTATATATAGGGGGTCTCCTCCCCTATTTTTGAGGGTTAGAAATTTTGGAACAAAAATTCTCCCTCTCTCTCTCTCTCTCTCTTGAAATTTTGTGCTTAGTTGCTAGATACACTAGACTTTTGCATATCAACCCTTAACCAAAATTGATCACCTTTGAGCTGAGGTCCCTTAAGGTCTTGTTGGAGCTCTTGAAGGTGGTTTTGACTTGTTTTTGTGCCTAAAGTTGTGCTTGGCTTCAAGAGGTATAACACTTGTCTATTAACTTGTTTTAGTATACTTGTTTCTCTACCTTCTCCCACTGTTTTTGAGCCATTTCTGAGCTGTAAAAATCTCTATTTTAATGGGTTGAAATTGGTGTTTTAAGCCATTTAAGGTTAGGGGGGTGTCTCAGCCTTTTTTATTCCCTGCTTTTAAGGCTTTTGCACTTTTGTTTCCCACTTTCAAACCAACCTTTTTTGGGCTTTTAACCACTGAATTTCATAGTAGTTTCGGTGGCAAAAAACATGTTTTGAAGTCCAAAATTGGAGGGGTTAGCCTCCCCTTCTTGTGTCTTGTTTGCTAGCCCAGTTAACTCTATATGTTAGCATGATTTTCTAGCTTTTTGTAGCTATATTTCAGCAAGTTTTTTCCTTTGTTTTAGACTACTTTAGCTCTGTTTTGGGCTGTCTGGGCCAATTGAGTTTTGTTTTGCATGGTTGTAGTGTAAAGGTCCTCACAAGGATGGTGTTTTAGGCCATTAAATACCCCTTGTTTGAGTTGATTGCATGTTTTTAGTATTGTTTTGCACTTTATTTCAGCATCTAAAGCTCTACAATCTCCTTCATTTCTTCACTTTTTAAATTTGCTTTTAGGGTTGTTTCAAACTTGGGATTTTTTAAGCTTAAGATTGAAGTCCATGCTTAATGGTTTAATCCTCTTTTGAGGGTTCATTACCAACAGCATGAAGCTTCTCTCATGCCTTAAATCACCCCTTGATTGACACTTCCTTCACTTTAGAAAACTCTCACTATTGGATTTAATTGATTAAGTAATGGTTGGTAACTAAAATGAGTAAATAAAAGTGGCAAGTAAAATTGAGCAAGATAATGACTTGTGTGTTGTGTGTTAATTAGATGTTAATTGAACACAAGGAAAATTGGGACATTTCATACTCAAAGTGATGCAATGCGCCAAATTTCCTAGGTCTCCATTGCCCTTGTGCATGATAGGGTGATGGTTCTTGGGTGTCTTGTTTTGCATTTATTGAGCTTGCATATCTTGAGTCACAAGTAATCATGCAATGAAATTGCTTGGATTGGTGGTTTGTGGCTTAAGTTCATAACTCCTTGGATTTGTTCCTGAAAATGAGAGGTGAATTATGCAGATAATCTGTGAGAATGCCTTCCTTTTGCTATGTTTGTCCTCTGTTGCAGCATGTGAAACAGTGTATCAGTGGCTGGCAAGCCACCATCCTTGGCCGGCAAAGCACCATATATGGCCGGTAGGCCACTTCCATGGCCGGCAGGTGGCCAGCAAGCTTTACCAGTGGCCGGCTGGCCACTGATGCAAACGTCAGCAGAGTGTTGGTAAGGTGCAGCAAAATGGTTCTAGGAGTGTTCAACTGTGCAAACAAAGGCTTTCGAGAGCAAAACAAAGGTCTTTTCGGACAATGCACATCTTCCATTTCCCGAGGTGGAGTAGTGGCAGAGTAGTTGAACACTTTAATTACTTAGTTTATTTGCATTTGTGTCATAATTTAATTAGCTTATTAGTTAGTTAATTAAAAGTGTTGTAATAATTAGTTAATTAGTTTAGCTATTTATTCGGTTTGTAATAATTAGCTTAATTAGCTTAGCTTAGTTAGCTAGTTAGCTTTATTCATTCGGACTCTCCTTTGTGAGAGAAAAATCTAATAATGTGCACGTTTTCCAACCCCATGTATTTCTCCCTTTTATTTAATCGCTTTTGATGGTTAAATTAGGGATATGTTTCAGTTAGCATACCTTATGCTTGCATCAATCCATCTTGTTTTGCATACACTGAGCCTCGGTGTTTCATTCAAACTGCATTGTCATTTCAATAATTCTTTGAATACGTGTTTAAACACATGTCATTTAATTGAATCATATGTCATATTGGTAGCCGAGCCTATTAATTGCATATTGCATGCGTTGCATTAGACATCTTGTATAGTTAGGAATCATGCATATTTTTCTAACTCATATCTCCTTAGCTTGGAGTACTAGGTGAGTTTTAATGCTTTAGCATACTTGTACAAGTGTGAGTGATTGCCATGATTAACATGCTTTCCATGAGGCTATGTGCTTAAGTGATAAACTGCTTGAATGCCTGTGGATGAAGGCTTGTTGTTTGAATTGGAACGATTCAACGAATGTATGTTTTAAGCCCACTATATCTAGTGGCAAATTCACAGTTTTAAGCCCACTATGTTTGGTGGCAATTTTGTAAACCTTAAGCCCACCTGAGGTGGCAAATTCAAACCCTTTTTGCAAAACAAATATGAAATTGAATTGTTCCAACTTAAGCAAACTAGTATATACTTACATGTGCGCATCACATAGTAAAGCCAGTCTAATAACTAGAACAAGAACACATAATGTTTGTAAAAATCATATCATGATTAGTAGAGGCCGATCTTTGATCGGGTGAGCGAGGGTGCTCAATTCATGACCTTCCCCTCTCGTACCTAAGTTCCCGAGCTGAGGCAACTTTGGTGATGACGGACACATGGCCTTTGGCATGAGTCATGAATTTCCTAAATTTTCCCAAAATAAAATATTTAGGTGGCGACTTTATATCTGGCAAAGCAGTCTATTTTTGGCATTTTTTATTCAAAATCAATTTTCCAAAAAGATTTGCCAGATTTGGACTCTTTGGTGATTATCAATTTCATACTGCACTTGTGAGATTAGATTCAAAACCGCAGGAATCCAAACTGTAGGGTTTTCTTTCAAACCTCAGAAAGGGTGCGCGAAAAAGTCGAGCTACACCTTGTCAAAAGGTCTTCGGGCTTTGACATTCACTCACATCATGAAATGATGCATCGAGCTCTGTCAAAGAGGTAACTGTAGACACCCCATTTTTTACTAGCCTTGAGACTTGGGCACTCCTTTTTAAGCTCCCGACAATGAGCTGAGACATGTTAATCTTACAAGTTCTATGGCCAAAATCTTAAGGATTGAGCTTTAAACCATCCAAAGGCTTGTTTTGGACAAAATGTTTTTCAACCAAAATGGAAACCTCGTTCAAAAATGAGTTTACCAGTGCAATTCCAGACATTATCACAATGTTTAGAGGCTCATATTTTTGAAGTCAAAGTATTGTATTCTTTCAAACAAACTGAGCAAAGTATATTATGGGAATGAATGGAAGGGCTGAAATACTTTGAAATACCTGTTTCTCTTCTCAAATCAGGCTAACCTTCTCTTGTTGATCTGATGATGTGCCTTCTGAATGGTCGAACACCATATAGTGGCTAGCTACAAATGCAGTCGGTCGATCACCAGATTA